TTTTTAGCAATAGTTTTGGGGTGGTTCGACGATCCCTCTCTTATTAATTAATTACGTCTAGTATCTCTTGGCTCCGTATTTTTTGGCGTCAACTCCCTGACATGCCTATTCAAATGAAAAGCTCTCATTTTTTGCAAACGAAATTAGAATATAAATTCAAACAAAAAAACATAAAGATTATTCTAACTTAAACCACGTTACTTTCTTCGTGACTACTCCCTTTAAAGTTTTTCAAAACTGAGCAACAACAAAAAGTTAACAAAGAGATACGATCATTTTTTATCGATTTTCTTTGTCATGGTGGGCAAAGGAATTAAAGCCTCTGCAATTGTTGAAATTGAGGTGGATAACTTGATTGGAGTTAATGTCCGGGTGCTGATTTCTTTGTGGCACATCTTTGAGAAGTTCAACAGATGGTGAAGATCGTGGGGAATCAAATTTTACTCTTTTTGGAGGTTAAAATGTTTCTCCTGATTTTTACGTCGATGGCAGCGATGGATCTGTATTTCCAGAAACTGACGAGTGTGAGAAAATCGATTTGGTAATTGTAGAGGAAGGAGTCATCTTTTTCAGTACAGCATGGCTGATTTTGTAAGAATTTCGAATCATCTATGCTCGGCTTGCGTCATAGTAGCCTTCAGCGACTGTGTCTGATTTCCACCCTTCAGCTTTTTTTAATGTCAGGATATCCATCTCGGCTTCAGCTCCAATTGCTGCACCGGTACGTCTCCACGAGTGTCCGGTGTATTTTTTAGCGTCTTGGAGTCCTAAAGGTAGCGATTCGCTTGGGGAAGTCTGCTCGTGTGTGTTGACCTATCACTTCACGATCACATTTTCCATTCGAGTATCGAAGAAAAAAGTTTGGTTTTGACACATAGCCAGCTGGTCTCAAGGCCATATACTTTTTAACAGTCTCACAAAAGATCCCAGTGAGCGAAAAAGGTCGAGTGGAGCCATTTTTGGTTTTTACCAATTTGAAATTGAAACATGTGCCGTGATCCTCAATGTGTTCAGGAGTCAATTTATAAAGCTCCATCTGTCTACAAAATCCATGGATACCCAGGATGCATGCCAGTTACGAGAAATAAAATTAATTAGATTTTTCATGAATCATGTATTTGACATCAATTTTTTTAATCTCGTGAACAAGTATTTTTTGTTTAAATTTTCTTCTGAAATTATTACCTAAAAATTTTCATTTTTGACAAGATGTGCAAAAAATGAATTATTAAAATATTCAAATAATTAAAATTTTTTAGTTAATTACCTTCACTGCTAGCCAGTCTTTATCAGGTACTGTCTGTAGGAATCGTGCTAGTTCGTGCTCGCTGAATATTTTCGCCTTTTTCTTAATCTGATCAGACTGCTTCTGATATGCTGAGAGAAAATTAGACAGTAGGTGGTAATTCCTGATGTCAATTTTGTCCTACGCAAAGAGAGTAGATTTGAGCATGGAATGAATAGCCCACAATGACGTTGGTGCCATACCCAGCGTCACCTTCTCATTTGGATCTATTCCATTGGGTCTTTTTAACATATGAAAACATCTCAACACGACTTTTTTATTGTTCTGAAATTTTTCTTCGTCAGGAAAAACTTGAACTTATGATATGTTCGATCATAAATTGGCTTTAACAGTGGTGGTATGATAATTGATTCGGCTTTCCTAGCATACTCCAATACGTTTTCGGGACTATTTTGCTCGGTGACACCAGAGTCGTTCTGAGAATTTGCATTCACTGCCATGCTAGAAGTTAAGCTCTCGATGTCGGTCTTATCAAAGAAGTCGGCTGACTGTACCTCACTGTCATTACTCGACTCACTCTCTGGGACAATGAAGGTTTCTATTATTTCTTTTTTTGACAAATTTTTCTGACACTCATCCACACACCACAGAAAATATGGCTGCTGCTAGGAGAATAGGTTATAGGAGGCACTTCGGGCGCTGTAAATCGTACCGGACTATACATTTTCCCGAACGCAGAGCGCATGCCCGAGCGATAACAGTGCCTTAAGACTCATCTGACTTCCGCTTATCGCTTCTTGGATGAGTAAGTGAAATTTACCGTGCGTGGTCCCCTACTTACTATCCTTGAAGCACCGATTTAGAAATGCAATTTTAAATGCCATTTACTCTCTCCCAATAGAGGCCCAGTAAGCGTCACCTATCGGACCTCAGTGACGAAAAAATCGATTACTTAAATGTTTGACACTAGGTGTGCCCCTTAACTGATGAAACATGTATGCCACATTTTTCCTTGAAAAATAATTTGTTAGTTTGAAATGATTGAGAGATTAAAATGACTTTCAACAGAATGGAGGGGCCAAGGATGGTTTTGACATGAACATTGCTCCGGTCTGGCAGAAAGGGTATACAGGTAAAAACGTAGTGGTGTCCATTCTGGATGATGGTATCCAAACAAATCATCCTGACTTGGCTCTGAATTACGATCACGAGGCCAGTTATGACATCAATGGGGATGATGATGATCCAATGCCTCAGGACAATGGAGACAATAAACACGGAACTCGTTGTGCCGGTGAAGTTGCGGCTGTTGCCTTCAACCAGTATTGTGGAGTCGGTGTCGCTTACAATGCCAGTATCGGAGGTAAGTTGAGGACACCTTAAGGATGCCAATCATCTGTTCGATACCATAATCTTAGAGGATATCCCCGGAGAGGCGGGTGTGTTAGTGTCAGCTTCCGGGGATGTCATCTATGATGGAGTAGTTGAAAAATTGCTGAAGAAGTGAAAATGTTTCGGTATAAAAACTCGTTCACTGCGGATAAATAGGTTTTCGCCTAGATTGATGCCTTGCCAATTAACACTATCGAATGTCTCTCTCGCATCCCAGAATGATTATCGTTTATAACAAAATTAATATTTTGCCATCTCTTCCAAAAACTCATTATTAGGAGCATCTAGATATTGACCAATAGAATTCCCCAGAGAAATTCCTATTTCATTAAAGAAAAACTCAGTGTAACATTTTTAATGATTTTTCTTTTTTAAAACTGGGTATTTGGATAGTTTTTATTTTATTCAAAATGTTGTCCTTCTCTTACATAATTGAATACAAAATAGACAGAAAATATAAAATAATTATAATGAGAAGGACGAGAATGGAAAATCTTGACAAAAATTGTAATCATAAGTCACAGCCAAATACAAATGGCATCCCAAAATAACTCATAGTTGGATCCATAAAATATTCATTTTCAGACTTCCTTAGTAGCATTAAATAAATTATCGGCATTCCTAGATTACGGTTGTTTTGCATGTATTGGCGAAGATATAAGAATTGCTTGAAATTTTGACATAATGTTTTTGAAGCGATAACAGATGCTTGTATAAAATTATTATTATTATTAATTATGAAAGTTTTCAATTAACACGGCCTCTCATGGGGAAAATAAAAATTTCTGTAAATATAGTCGAAAATATAAAATTTTGTTGAAATTTGGAAAATTTACTACTGAAGCAGATATAAAACGATGGTACAAATTTCGTAACAATTGATTAAATTGTTTTTTTCATTAATTTGTTTGAGCAATATAATATTTATTCATAAAATCAAATACAATATAATAATTTTCTATGGCTATTACTTCAATTCATTAACGCATTTAAATATTAATTGAAATTCGATCGCGATAAATATAACGAATTATAGAAAGGCTCATAAACTTTTGTTCTGACTATACTCGAAATTCGACTATTCGGAATATGAATTAAAAAATTTTTTTTTTAATTCGAATTTTTAACAATATTTTCATTTAACAAATACTGCAAGAATATTAATCATTTCTAACGTTTTCAGTTTTTAAGCCGATATCACACGATCTCGGTCCGTGGAACACTTTTTTTTTTTTAATTTCGGCAAAAGGTTGATTTTTTCCATGTATTTAAATTCTTTTTCATCATGGGGAAACAATTCCTTCTATATTTTTTTCCAGTTTCAATATTTTCAACAGAGTTTCTTCTATTCTAAAAACATGATACTTGTTTTTTTGTAAGAAAATATGTGAATATATGTACTCTGAACTCCCACTTTTTCATATTTCAAATTTTCGGATCAACAGTACACTTCGTTCTTTCTGACGCAAAATTCGAAATATGACAATGGGGGAATTCAGAGGAACCATTAATGACAAATTTTCATTCAAAAAATTAAGTATCAATGCTCCAGAATAGAAGAAAGTATGATGAAAAAATGGAAACTGGAATAGAAAATAGGAAGAATTGGTTGGCTATCAGGAAATAAATCATGAAAAGGTGTGAAAAAAATGTGGAAAAATTGAAGAGATAGTTATTGAAGCCCCAAAAATGGAAGGAAGGAACATGAATTTTGAAAAAGATAGGGATTGCGATTAGGGTTGCCTCATTTGGTAGAACGTACCTAATATTTATGGAAAACGGTGGTGTTCAACCAATTACGTTTTACCACTCGACTGACACTATGATCTCTACCCATAAATAATTCAATTCCCCAGGAGTGAGGATGCTAGATGGTGTAGTGAACGATGCTGTTGAGGCTCGAGCACTCGGACTGAATTCCGACCACATCGATATTTACTCAGCCTCATGGGGCCCAGAAGACGACGGCAAAACAGTCGATGGTCCTGGAGCTCTTGCCAGGCGTGCATTCATCTATGGTGTTACCAGTGTAAGTTAACCACTACTCCATTTAATTCATTACCTATCACTCAAATCCGTTATATATATATATATATCACTCCATTGTGCCCTCCTCTATTCACTGTTCTAATTCACTACGAGTTAATTAAATTAAACTCCAACCACAAACCGCCCACAATGATACTTTTCTGCGTCCCCGAACCGTTTTTTATCACGGTAAAAAATAAAATAGAGAACAATCGAAAAGTTTCTCCAGGGCTCCTATACAAAAGTTTCCTTTATACTTGAGAGCGAATATACTTTTTTCTTTCTATTTGTTTCTCACAAAGAAGGTAGAAAAAAATTATTGAGCAATTTTAATGTTCTAGACGTGATTCTGCTGAAATAAAATCATAATTGAGATCATAAGGTGTGACATTAGTTTTTGATTGGTTATATCAATCTCAGAATAAACCAGATTAATTAAATTATGATTTTGAAGCTCGAAGAAAATCTAAAGAGGAAAACATTTTCTCTCTTTGGCATTCCAATTCAGCACAAATGTCACTATTTTTTTATTTCTCGTGGTATTTTAGAATAATTCATAATTAACATAACTATGAGATATATTATTAAATTTATCTGAAACTATTGAAACAGATTTTATTACCTTATATTATAGCAGATCAGTCAATATAACCAGACCTTGGGAACTTTGTGGACTCAGCTTACTCCATCAAATTCTATTTTTAAAACGATGAACAAATAACGCCGTTTGATTCGTCATAAAATTCAGAATAGTTGAAAAAAAATCGAATTTTATAACAATTGACTATCCACTTTCAACACATTGAATTCGATTTGCAGAGAAAAATGATGAAATATCAAATTTCACTGAAAATTCCACATTTCAAGAGGCAAGGGAAAATTTCATTATTTTTTTTAGATTTTCAATCCCATCTGAATAGTCGCTGTTGAATTACATTGAAGTTCGCGGGAAATTTTTCATGTCTTTTTTCGTTGAAATCGCTGTTCCTTGACTTTTTACGGTTTTTTCATCAGTCGTTTAATGGTTTACCCCGACGAATACGAAATCTAGTGAATGTTTCCAATTGCAGTTGAATTGAAATTCAGATAATTGAATGTCGAGATAACATTGTTGCTGGAATTGCAATAAATTTGTAGTACGAAAGTATATAGAGTATATGCAATGGGATCTCTCGGGGATCCCCACAATTCCCAAGTCCTAACGTAGAAACTGAACAAATATTTAATAAAATTCCGCTCCCATATCAGAAAATTGACAAGTGAGACATCCCTTAAAAGAAGGAAAAACGAAAAAAAAAGGTGAATAGCATTCTGGATCTGACACATTGATATTCACAAACAGGGTAGAAAAGGTAAAGGATCGATCTTCGTGTGGGCCTCAGGCAACGGCGGTCGTCATACAGACTCATGCAACTGTGACGGCTACACAAACAGTATTTTCACCCTGTCGATATCCTCAGCAACCCAAGGTGGTTATAAGCCCTGGTATTTGGAAGAGTGCAGCTCAACCCTCGCAACAACGTATTCGTCAGGCACACCGGGCAATGATAAGAGCGTTGCTACCGTTGATATGGATGGAAAATTACGACCAGATCACATATGCACCGTTGAACATACGGGAACATCGGCATCAGCACCCCTTGCCGCTGGAATAGCTGCCCTTGCGCTCGAGGCTAATCCTAGTCTGACCTGGAGAGATATGCAGTACCTTGTGGTGCTGACGTCCAGATCTGGACCACTTGAGAAGGAACCAGGATGGATTTTAAATGGTGTTAAGAGGAAAGTTTCCCATAAATTTGGATATGGGCTCATGGATGCAGCCGCTGTCGTCAATTTTGCTGAGCAGTGGACCAATGTACCACCTCAGCATATTTGTAAGTCACAGGAAATCAATGAGGAGAGATCCATTGATCCCACTTTTGGCTATACACTCAATGTTAATATGGACGTCAGTGGATGCGCCGGTACTCTCAATGAAGTTCGATTCTTGGAGCATGTGCAGTGCAAGGTTAGTTGACATTTTTTTATTTATCATTTCATAGTTGAGCTGGTGTGGCTTTGACGACTTGTCGAAAATCATCGGGCTGTCTGATTAACTTCGAGGTCTAATCGTTGAGATAGAACACATTTTTTCCACACTGGCACCTGATAAACATCGGTTTCTGTGAACGCTACGCGTCCAGAAAATCACGTTTCCCAGGCCCTGCGTCTGGAAAATTTTTGTTAAAGCCACACCGCCAAGAGCCCATCACCCTTCCCCACACACCTGCCAATCTCGTCAATTTTGCATGTGGGGAGGGGTGATCTGGTTTCCACGGCTAGGCCTCAAAATAACTTGAGGCGGTTTTAACATTAAAATGTTGGGGTGCTGTTGTTTTGTGAATATATGTAGAATTGCTGGGTTCAGGGGAATACCACATTTTCTGGTGAAGATTCAATTCCATGCTGATAAGATTTTCCCAATTTTTCAACGAATTCATCATTTTTACACAAATCAATAGAAATTAAATAATAAAACCTACAATGAAAATTGAAATTCGTTTTGATCAGTTCAATATTGTGGATTTTTTTTATTAATTGGAAAATGTTGAAATGTGATATTTGTGTATTCTAAATATTATGGCCTTTAATTTGAAAACTTGTATATCATATTGCTCCAATATTCCACTGGTAGAAAAATTGATGATTTGTGTAATAAAACAGATGTATCACTGTCTGCTTGTTATTTGTGAAACATGAAATGATCGAATCAAAAAAATAGTCGAGTGTACCTGAAATTTTACAAACGGTAGTACACAGAAAAATAATAACAAGTTATTTTTTTAAATGTAAAATATAAACCAATATAAATACCAATTTGGTTGATTGGAAATACCAATGGAAATGGAAAACAAAAGATAAGTTGACTTAGCTCTTCAGAGAGCACGCAGAAAACACTATACTTAAAATACGAGGTTTAGGACGTAATTTACGGGATTTCTCATCGCGTACATTACGAGTTTGCAAACGTAAATTACGGGCTGAAACCACGTAAATGACGCCTACAAATGCCGTAAATTACGTTTTTTATGTGGTAAATTAGGAGGTCGACTCCGTAATTTACGCTCCCTTATCCATCATTTACGACATCTCAATAACCTAAAATCTGTAATTAGGATTGTAAATGCAAGGACACATATAAGAAAATTTTTTCTGGACAACATCAGGTCTTCAAATTAGAGGATATTTGGGTCATCTGAAAACCCTATTAGACCTAGAAGAGTAAAAACATCCATGTAAATTTTTTTAGTTTCATAATTCTTCTACGTTTTCTTGATGTTAAAGTACCTTATCAGTCATCGCCAGCAATCCCTTCCAATGCATAAAAATTGAGAAGCTGCACGAATTAAGATTTTATATTATTCAATGTTGAACGAGTCATAAATCTTTGCGTTTTGACTCAATAAAAACATGGAAAAATGTGAAAATTTATACGGAACCTTTTTTAGTTTTATTGAGGAATCATCGCAATGAAGAGAGAATTGAAAATTTATAATTTACCATCGTCAATAGAGTCGGATAAAGCGCCATGAAAAGGGTAATGATCTCGTAAATCTTTCTATACACTGGACATAAACAACAGACTAAAAAAAGGTGCTTTCAAAATATTTTAATTATTAAATATTAATCTTTACGATTTTTTTTTTGATTTTCTACTTAATCGCAGCTTTTCAAATACCAGAAAATCTCTCAATTTTTTTCCACCCATATTTTTTGTACATTTTATTAATATCCATTATTTTAATGACAATACGAAAGATGAAAGAGAACTATCTTCATATCCCGTCAAAATACTATCAAATGGAAATAAATTTATGAAAGCTTTTGCAAAACACGTTCATCTTTATATCGTGATAGGAAATTTGTTTTTTAAGTCAAGATGCTCCACAATATCGATACAAATCTAAACATTTATCCTGTATAACAGAAGACAGATAGATGGATTTTATCTGTCTCGTAAACCGTAAACTATGGTCCAACCCAAGCAACCCCTTTCTTCCCTCATTTCAGAAACATTTTATGTAGTGGCTGGTATGTGTATTCGTACACACCAGATTCAACACTGTTTAACCATTTTTATGGGCACTTCCTTTATGCAACAGTTTTAACTTCCAAAACTAAGTTATTCACAGATTTATGATGACTCTGTGATGAAAAAATTCCTGTGAAGAAATTAAAAAGAAAACATTGATAAAAAAATGCATTTAATGGTTTTAGGCGTTATAAAATACTTCATTTGTGATATTCTATACGGAATTACGGTTATTCGATACATTCGGTGAATATTCATGATAAAGCAAGAATAAAGGATGGGAGGGAGCGTGAAAATGTAAAGAATTGATATGAGTGAAATGAAACTTCAAAAATGAAATTGGAATGGAATTCAAAACAAAATGATTCTTGTATTCACACAATTAATACTTGAAGCCGTTTTCAGACAAATCCAAGGCCATCATTTTTTTTCAACTAATTACCAACATTAACAAGCACTCCACGTACGAGTGTAAGATTGTATATATTTTTTTAATTCCAAATGAAGAACGATTAATTTATTCGAATTATTTGAGAAATCCCTGTCGAAAATTGATGAATATATGCAAAAACCAGATAATTCAAATAACATCATAACGTAAGACCTTATTTTTCATTACTTAAATTTTAATAGTTCAGCTCTGCGTCAATTGGACATAATGATTTGCGGATCATTTTTAAGCTCTTTTGATGCTTTCCATATTGATACAACATAGATCTCCGTTGCATTCCAATAAACGCAGGAGAACTCGCCATTTTTATCCTAATCGAAGATAACTCAAAAAACTGCAAAAGATATTCACAAGATAGTGGAACTATATGAAATCTAGCGAGTTCTTAAAAATGGTTCAAGATACGTTCCGATGCTTCAAAGAGAAATGCATATCACTCTTATGATTACTCTTTCTTGATATTGCGGATATTTTAGAAACCAGCTTTTATGATAAAAAATATGATAATTCCATTTGGAATTAGTAAAATTGTATAAGAAAAAGGCCGTATGATATTTTTTTAGCTGCAAAAATAATAGAGTATTATTCGATTACACTTACCCTGACTAGGAACATTTTACGACTCTCATTAGGGCTATAATCCACACGAATTCTGTAATTCTCTTGAAGGTGTCACTGCGATTCTTTCCACGTGGTAATCTTCGCTTGCTGCTGACATCACCGATGGGAACTACCTCGACATTGCTCTTTGAACGACCCAGGGATATTGTTGGCTCCAACTTTGACGATTGGCCGTTCTTGAGCGTACACTTTTGGGGAGAAAAGGCTGATGGCAGATGGACCCTCCAGGTCATCAATGCTGGGAATAGGAGGGTCAATTCACCTGGTAAAGACCAATAACTTTTTACTGACTTTTTTAACAATTAAGAACAATAAGAGAAAAATACACTTGGTTTCATTCCTTTTTCTTAAGGAGATCAAATCTTTAGAGGCTTTATGAAATTATCCTGATAATGACACTAACTTTGTTTTTAGATCATTTCGAAAGTTTTAAAATGTATCTTATGTAATAATAATGCTCGATGGGTTTTGACAGTTCTACGCAGATCAATTTACCACATAATTATGATAACATTTACTGAATTATCTCGCTAATGAGAGCTAATGGAGAAAATATCTCTCGAATATTCTCTATCTGAAATATGTGCCGAACAATACAGAAGTTATAAAAATTGAGTTCTAACTTTTCATCCAGCATTACGATTAATTACCTAATTATAAAAAAGATATCACAGAGAAAGTATGAAGATTTTGATAAGCAGCTATTATACATCCTCCAATGTTTTGTTCCTGAAGACTGAACCGAATGTCATTTTTGAGCCCTTGCCCTGATGAAATGAATAAAATTATTAATTTTTTATGCTTGTGTAGTGTAAAGCTTTTCCTTCCCTTCGTTTCTGGCGGCATATAGTGTTTAAAATTCATCCGAACTCGGTTATATTCAATTGAACGTGTGGTAAGATACTACAATCCTCACCAGCACTTAGCATTATGAAGCACACAAATATCATAATATGATCGGACCTCCCCTTCGAGTTACGTTTCAGCTAATTTAATTCAATTTCAATTTAATTCTTCAATCTGTTACTTTTTATTTTGGTATTAATTAGTAATCTATATACTCATTTCTGATTCATTCTTGTGAAACCACTTGCAATATTAAGAACAAATGTTCATTAATTTTAATGTTTCTCATTGTTTTGCATTTTTTATTTTTCAAAGGAATCCTGAAGAAGTGGCAGTTGATATTCTACGGGACAGCAACAAATCCAATAAAGATTCGAACGCGCCAATTTAATCCGGTACAGCAACAGACGAATTATCCTTTCTTCCCAATAGATCACTCATTGGTTCTGGATCATCTTATTGGCTCCGACTACTATCGGTCATCTGGGTTTCAGAATTATCAGGGGTCGTATGCTGGTGCAGCATCCAACGTACAGGCGTCGGTGGCATCCTTGGATGGCTCGTCGGCGCCAATTCTTACCAATCGATTGCCAGAGGATATTGCAGATGACATCTCCAGAAATCTTCAGGGCTCATTGGATCCGTCACGAAGGATTGTACATGATTGTGATCCACAGTGCGATCATCAGGGTTGCTACGACAAGGGACCAACCGAATGCGTCGCCTGTAAGACGTACAGACTTGACAAGTGGGTATTTTTGTCCTTCTTTTTATTCATTCAGGAGGTGGCAACTTATTCCAAACCAACCACATACTCTTTCCAATAACTTTTCTAATAATAATCATAATAGTAATAATAGTAATAATAATAACAATAGTAATAACAATATTAATTCTTATGGATTAGTAGTGTGGTAGTGTTTATTTCACGAATTATTTTTTTGTAGGTGTTACTTTTGTTTATCGTAGAATGGCTCGGGACCTATTGAGTAACAATACATCTATACTATCTATCGAACGTAATCTTCGTAATCATGATTTTTGCAACACAATTTGAGCAGAAAATTCAGAAATATTTTAAAAGGGAGAATGTTTTAAGATTACATTTTCAGTAATGAAGAGGATATTTTATTTTCCATTAAATAGAGTAGTTTCAGAAATAATTGAAGAGAAATCTAGTGTCAAGTGATAGCCTAGAATAAGTGCACTTCTATTCGGCGACGAATGTTCATTACATATCTTGAAACCATAAAGGAGGAAAGCCATTATTTCATAAACAATTTTTTTGTCGTTTTCACCTTTTCTATACAAAATTAATATGCAACAATCACAAACTTTATTGAATTTTGATATATTAGCTAAACACCGATGTAAAAAAAGCACTTACCGTAGCTTATGACTTGGCAATTGAAATGTTAACAATTCGTTTGGATTGTTAGGAAATGTCTCTTTGAAATGACAAATATCGGTGTAGATATTTGAGGAATTCCTTTGAAACCAGGCGCTTTACTAAAAAAAGGATAGGTCAGCTGTAAAAGCATTTAAAAATGTCCAAAAATAGAATCACAATATTTTGCAAATGCTTCTAAAATTTGTTTCATCTCACGCTTCAACAAAGTATGGGCTTTCATGAATAATTCTGAAAATCCTCTTGAACTCCGTTAGCGTCAGCCTGCAACCCTTAGGTTCCCTTGTATGAAATTGGATTTCCGAACTGCATGTGAATCTCTCTCGCGCCCACTATAAAATTCTGCAAAATAATCTAAAATGGTTTTTAAAACTTTATAGTACATGTGTAAGTCGATGTCCGCCGAGAAGTTTCCCAAACCAGGGTGGCGTTTGTTGGCCTTGTCACGAATCCTGCGAGACTTGCGCCGGGGCTGGTCAAGATTCTTGTCTTTCCTGTGCACCAGCACACCTTCGTGTCACCGATCTTGCCGTCTGTCTACAGCAATGCCCCGAGGGCTATTACGAAAGTGAGTTAAATCATTTTTCATAGTGTGAAGAACAAATTACTCGATCAAAAGTCTGATCTTATCGTTTTGTGTTGTAAGAAAAGTAGAACAGAACGCGACAAAGTGAATCACCCGTCAATTTCATTGCAACAAATTACCATCATATATTTGGTATTTTATTGATTGACAAATTGTAATAATTTTTATTTATTTTTGTAAGAGAAAACACGTTATTTTTAGAGCATCTGACGATCACTTCCTGACAATCTATAAGTGAATGATTCATCTCCGGGACGCCCCTTTTTTTCAGTTTTGGCATAATTCCTCTCTCTTTTTCGTATTGAGGTGAAATTGTATACTCATTTGAAAGCTCATCAAATACGCTTTACAAATTACGGGAATTATGTGATTCCCACCATTTTTCATGGATTCATAGCACTTTTAATTTAAAGATGTAATTTTCATATTTTACCTAAATTCATCAAATGAATAGGAATATTTATATCGTCCAATTCTAAAAGATAGCAGCACATTTTCATCGATATATCGAAAGCTCCCATCAATTTTCCTTGTTTCTCATTGGTTATTCTCAGTATCGATATCACCACGGTTGATTTAAGTAACAACGGCGTATGAGTTTGAATCGGTTCTCTCTGTTCATTCATTCCAATTTCTTTTATTGACTAGGATAAACATGTTAAATTGTAGTTTTGCTTTTTTTTTAATTGAATTTGTTCTCAACTGAAGATGGGTATTCTTTCAATTAGACATAAACGAGAGGGGACTTCACATTTGCTTAGAAATTTCACTCCTTAATTCATAAAATCATTTTTATTTATAGAAAAACATCACCTCTATACATCCATGATTAATCAAAAATATAAACGGCACTAGAAATGCAATTTTCTTTCGCTCGCATTCATCCGGCCCGTTCCAACGACCAAAGTGCATGTAAAGTTTTATGTCTTATGGTTAAGTCCAGTTCTAAAAATGATGAATGAGATGAATAATCGATTAACAGAAATTATTACGACGAAGAGGTTACAAACATTTTATATATCATAGATATGACTTCCATAAAACTGATATTAAATGTTCACAACCGCGCGTGCAACGCTAGTTCGATCTTACCATTTTTTGTTCTTTGAAGTGGCATCAGTGATATCCTACTTAGTGGGACACTTGTAGAGTTATCGAAGTTACCATTTTGTCATCATTACATAAATATTGCTAATTATTGTAGCATTCAATGTCAGTCATGGGTATGTATTGAAATCCATTCCGAAAGTCCCAATGAGCTCTCTACAATGCCATTCGAATTTCCAAATTCCATTGAATTGATCAAGAAGTGTCGATGATAAGTATGAAATATCGTTGTCAATGTGTACACTTAATATATGATACTCTTGTCTTTAGTTTATACATATACTATATAAAATATAGTAACAAACTTTGGTTTCTTGATCTGTTCACGTCAGAATATTGTGCATTTAGATTTATTCTAGTTACTTTCATCACAGTTTCGAAGTATTTTATCTATTTTACCCAACCGTATGTTTCTTTATGCATGGAGAGAAATTTTCAGCGGCAATACCACTGTTTGGCGCAAATTCGAGTTTGAATAATAATCATCAAAGTCTCATACGACTCCCCAGGAAGGGGTATTGCAACCTAATCCCAAAGACAATGGACCCACGTGAGGGACCATCATATACTATTCAATGAAAAATTCGTATTTTGTCTTTCCATTAGCGATAGGAAAGTTAGTACTTTCCTCCCGAACGTGAAAAGAACTCATACTCGGAGATAAATATTATATATATAACAGAACCCAGAACCCAGAATCGATCAAGTAATCGTTTTTTCATAATTATCATTTTGAAGTTGGCACAATAATATGATTATCTACTGACTTTTCTTTCTATTTTAATATCGAACTCGCAAAATATCTCTGTCTCGCAAGACTGTTTCACTTGTCCACCATTGGCTTACAATCGTCTGTGACGGCTAATTTGAATGAAGAAGGCAGTTCATTATTATATTTTTACTCATGATCCCTATAATTACAGCGTACTGTATCGCGCGTTCTGTCTTGTTTCAAAGAAAATTCTCGGCCTATTATAACTAAAAAATAAAAATTTGATGTACATTCAACAATTCTTATTAACACTTTTAAAAATAACGGAACGACTTATCAGCACGGCGGTGAATCATCAGGCTGAGAGATCGTTTTCACTTGATCGTCCGTACAATTCCTATTCCAACTCACACTTTTTATTTAGCTTCATTTCTTTCGCGAATTGAACTTTGCAATTTCATGTTTACGTTCTTTGTCAGATCATTCTTATTGTATTATTCTCTCAGTGTGAGGAAGTGAAGTATCAACTTTTCATACAGGTTTGTGAAAAAACTGGAAATCAAATAAGACTTATGATTAATTTCAGATACTGAGAATAGCACATGCGTGCCCTGCGAGGCAAACTGTGCGAGCTGCCAAGATCGCTCTGATCATTGCACATCCTGTGAGCATCACTTAGTGATGCACGACAACAAGTGTTACGCAGCCTGTCCCCTCTATACCTACGAAACTCAGGACTACAACTGTGCCCCATGCCACTCGACCTGCGAAACGTGCAACGGCACTTCAGAGAGTCAATGTATCAGTTGCAAGCCCTCGCACTACTCTCTCAATGGCACATGTCACTCCTCATGTCCAGCTGGTTACTACCCGGACAAAAAGCGCCGAGAATGTGTACCCTGTCCCCCTGGATGCTCGACCTGCGTCACCGCGGCCTGTACCAGCTGCATCAATGGCTGGAGCCTCAACAAAAAGAACCTATGCGCACCAGTTTCTAGATCAAAATGCGATATCTCCGAGTACTTCGAGGATAATCACTGCAAACCCTGTCATTCGACGTGCGAGACCTGCGCAGGCCCAACTGATAACTTCTGCATTTCCTGCCAGTCACCGTTGCTTCTCCAAAACCGAAGATGTGTCGCCCAGTGTGACGATGGATTCTATTCGGTCGCACAGCCAACAAGATCCATTTGTTCACCTTGTCTTCATACCTGCAAGACTTGCGTTTCTAGATTGAACTGCACAGCTTGTCAGGACGGGCTTCAGCTGCAGAGTGGCGAGTGCAGGTCATCTTGTGCTCAAGGGTAAGCAATTCAATGATTATCTACTGATGAAGTTGGTTAGCTAAGTAAATAATAAATGGTTTAATATTTTATTTTTCACTAGGAATGGAATGGAACTATGACTATCGGTCGATTTGCCTTTTTTCTAAATTTCTTTTTATTCTCTTTTTCTATCAATTTCATCGATAGTAAGCCTCCCAATGTATGCAGTATTTAATTCAACAAGTCGTTATCGAGATATTGTAAAAATAACATGTACATAACAAGTCGAATATCTCCTAAACGATCTGTCTGGTGGAGTCGCGATTCAATTCAAAATCAAAAATTGATATATTAATTCGAAATATATCTCAAAGTTCTCGTATGATGACACTAACTGTTATCATAATCGAGACTCATAATCGGATATTTACTTTGCGTTTTTAAATGAATGATTTTCTAGTTCGATTTCGAAATTCATGAAATCTGATTTTTCATAAATACAATTATGGACGTTAAAGCCGAATAGTGTTACTGACACGAAGAATAACACGTTTGCCGATTTCCCGACGGAACATAAAGTGGACTTTTTTGGCAGATACATACCAAAAAAACATATTGCATTGTTTTACATTGTGTGAGGAACCTCACAAAATCAATATTTTCTTGATTACTAATAAATAGAAAAGGAAAAGAAATTATTAATTGGCGAACGCGTTGAACTTATGCTCTAATCCTTAATAATTTGTGCCCTGGACACTGAGCAACGAGCAACGCAAGATTAACATAGGGGAAAATAATTTTCTAAACGTTTAAGTTCGTTACAATTGTGAAGCAGCACTTTTTTGTCCGATCTATAACTGTCGAAGGCATCACCGAAAAATGCACGTAGGCGTTACACATCCGATTTTCCGGTAAGCCTGCAAGAATCGTTCGCCGGCACCCCAAAAGAAATATAATTGGCAGAAGCTAATCAATTACAGCAAAGCATTAATGAGCCATGAGTTGTAACAAAATCCAAGTGTAAAGCTTCCGAAACATGAAAAGGGCACGCAGGTCATATTAAGAAAAATTTATTAGGATTTATTACGGGTAAAAGAACAATAAAGAAAACCGAATAAATAATGATTTGATGAAATTTCGGGGTAATTGAAAACTTAATTTTCTTCATAATTCAATCATCATTCGTTACTATTACTAATGCAATGGGGAAGTGAGATCAAGCAAACTTGATACTTTCCTTAATTATCAATTTGTCTAAAAAAAACAAGGGCAATATCAAAGGGACGTGTCGTACGCATGCACTATATTGAGAACCACTTTAATGTCTGTGATCATATATTCGGTATCCTTCAGACAAAGACATTAACCTGCTGAAGTAATCCTAACAATCGCCGGGATATTGGTTAATCAATGATCTTTTTTTTTTTATTCTAACTGTTTAATTTGTATTTTTTCCCTTATTTTTGATGATTTTCATATATTTTTTCACATGAAAAGTTTTCTTATTGACGTTTGTCACGTGGATAGCGTTGAAATAAAATGGTTTTTCAACAGTCATTTCCAAGAAAAATAATCATCAGGCCGTCATGAGACTTGTATCATGTGAAAGCTCATTTTTCAAGCTTTGAAATAGGATATAATATTTGATCAGCTTCATTTTGAATTACAAAAATGCGACACATTGTAATCAATTTAAATCGTTCATAGTCCTGTAACGCACGCCACTGCTAGAATCGCCACTGCTCGAATAAACTAAAAATTTAATTTTTATCCAAAAAGTATCTACTCACTCCAAATTTTGCCTGGGTGCCAGTCAATGAAAATATTTTTTGAGAGGCACTGACTCCTCCCAACTTAATTGAAAATCTGCAAACCCAAAAACTCAAATGGCTAGCAGCTCATTTACAAGAGTAGACTCAACTTATTACAAGGTGGAGGTGAAACGATACCTGGGATATCTCTGGCATTCTCTTCTATCTCAACAAAGAAGACATAGGTTTTTAATCCAAAATAATTAATATTATAATTCACACAGAATAGAAAATTGACCAAAAAAAGTAGAAAATAGTAACTTCGGATTTCGTTCCCGTCACGACAAAACGAAATCAACACTACAAACGAAACTTAAGTTCGATTTTCGATTTTTCTGATAATCAGTAATAAAAATTATTGCATACGTGATCACAAATAAGATATCCACAACTAAAAATAATGACAATACTAATTGGAAACTTAAACCGAAACTTCACTATAAATCCCAGAAGGAATCTTTAGACTTCCTCAACTCTAAAGAGACGCCATTATGTGGCCGACAATGGGCTCCTCAAAAAATTCTATATTTCCTCAATAAACTCTATATTTCCTCAAAATTCTATATTACTCGGTTCGGCCCACCTGTTCAGTCGGTCCAACACGTCTTCCTCCGAGTAGGACATCAACCGGGGTGCCAAAAATATTCAAACCATACTCAAAATGCGACTCTACGGCGGCCAGGAGGCAACTCTGCTTAAGCTTGACCCGGTATGCTTCACAATGCTTGAGCCCCAAAGAAACGGGAGAAATTTTCCGGAATTTCGATCTATTTGCTTTTTTTCTCGTAATTCTCATAATTCTCGGGATTCATAATATGGATAATTTCCGACATTAATTACGTGGCTCTAAATTTCTCATTCATTTTGCCTATAAATCCGTAGAGATGAATGTCTCGAGCTAGATCGGAGCAGCAGCAACGAGGCCATGACGTAGGAAATCCGTGAAAATTCTGACGATCTCGGGGAAATCTCCAGATCGAATATTCTTCTTTAAAATTTCCTTTGTCATCGACTGCTGGAGTAGTGAAGAGTTTTCCTCTCCAGGTCGTTCCTCGGGCCAGGGTGATCTGAGCCAAATACCTCTAGCAACTGGAGACATTGAATCCCTGGGTTGGAGACATCTTTTGCGTTCGTCCAATTAGCAGGGGCTCAAAGAGGGGCGCTGTCTCTGGATTATCCCTATGATTCTCATCATTAGGGTCATCATGGCTCCTCCAGATCTCCCGAAAATATTTTGGCCTTTCGTCATCCCAATCGATCTCCATGTCTTGGATTTTATCACGACGGAAGGCATTTTACAACGTTCAAAATTTTATTAGTGCTGGAAGGATAAGCGAATTTTCCTTTCTGACACTCGCGATTGAGAGGAGTCTCGCAGAGGCCTTACTCAAATTTTAATTTACTTCCTTTAAAAAAACAGACTTTTAACCAGAAAAAATTAAATGAGAAGCGGAAACACAAAACTAGGTTGACGACCGAGGTTGTCACAGTCCAATGCAGACTGGAAATAGGTGAATGAAAATAGTATCCTTAGAAAGCTCAGGAAATGATGTTTGAAATGATGCCGGAAATGTATCATTTTTTGTTTACACGGGTGCTAAAAATTTGGCCAAACCTAAAACCATCATGGTAGATATGATATATCGGCTTCATGTTTAGCGATGTTCATATATATACATTTTTTTCAAAATAAGGACTATCGATTTAAGATGAAAGATTGAATATTTTATGCTGAATCCTTGTTAATATTTTGATATGATCCAAATACATTTCATATCATGTTTAAAAGTACCCAGTTTTATAATTTCTTAAGCATTAAGCATAATAACGTAACATGTTTATATTCCGATGGCATTTTCTTTAATGTGTCAAAGGTCGCGTATAAAGTAAAACAGGTGCGTAAAAACTAACTTTGCAGTACAAGTGAAAAATAAAACTTTTTCTCTTCCGTATCAGAAAAGGCCAGAACGGAATAGTATTTTTCACGCCTAGGACGGAAAAGGGGAATCTGACGAATGCGACTTTATAGTCCGAGTCGGAGACGAGGATTATAACACGCATGAGTCAGAATCACTTTTTTCGCCGTGGCTATGATGCTATTTTATGTCATTGTGGCTGAAAACGCGTTTTTATCCGAGCGAAGCGATGTTAGAAACGCGTTTTACCGGCCCCAATGACATAAAATCATATTCTAACCTCGGAATGCAAAAAAAAATGATTCCTACTCGCGTACTATTTTCCCTCCTAATAGGCTAGAAATAGTAATTTATATTACAAGGGTTGACAAGTATTTCAGGGTATATTTGATCCCAATCCGTGCCTTCGGTAGGCTTTTAGGCTTTTAGTGGTTTTGACGTTCCTTCATGAGTTCAGGACGTGCAATGAGCCTTCCGGCCATTTTGCACTCTGCACATGGCAGCCGCCTAGTCCATATGCTGCCCCTGCGGGCAAACTCGTAGAGCCCTTCTATACTGTCCCTATCGGTATACCTTACCTTGATACAAGTGGTCGTGAAGACATCCTACCGGATCTCATCAACACCACTGCATCTAGTGCTCAGATGGTGCGGATCCTCCTCTGTTAGTCCGCATTTTGGGCAGGTAGGGTCGCTACCTTTGCCTATTTTAGCCAAATATGAGGCTAGGGGCAACTGATCAGTGATAAGCCCCATTAAAGAGCGAAGTTTTATTCTGTTTAGCCTCGCCAGCGTTTCAGCTAGCTTCTTCGTAGGTCCACGTAGAAGGGGCCTTGTGTGCATAGCGCCTTCCGCAGAGTGCCACCTTGCCACAATCCTCCTCTCCCCTCGATTCTGGATCATGTCCTCGATGAAGTCTATGTGTACACCTACCAGGTTCTCCTTTGCTGGTCCAACCTATAGACATCCTCTTTTGGCCAGCTCGTCGGCTTTCACATTTCCGAGGATTGCAGCGTGGCCTGGGATCCAAACCACTTCCAGCTGATTATAGGCAGCAATCCTTTCCATCAGCGCAGTGCAGTCGTTGACTAATCGAGAGCAACTCTCAAACCTGAGCTGTGCTCTTAATGCACGTCTGCTGTCTGAGCAGATGTATATCTTCTTGCCTTCGGTAGAAAAAATACTTTTCCGTCATACCTACACGGAAAGTTGGATTTTACTCCCGAAATAATGGGAAGAAAGTGGCTTATTCCATCCCTCAGATTTCTGTTGTTTTTGAGAATTTTCGGGATGACATAACCCACATTCCTCCCATCATTTACGAAGAAAAATTGAACTTTTCCGTTTAGTAAAGACGTAAAGAACAATGTGCACTAAGAACGAGAAACAGGCCATTGAAACCCGCGTGTTAGAATGTCCTGTCTTCCAATCATAGTGTCATAGTATGTCAACATACTATATGTCATGCGGCTCGCCCTAACCTAGTATCTCTATTGCCGTTTTTTTACTTACCTCCCGTGGACCTTTGGAATTATAGGTTTGAATATTCAAAATATTTTGATCTCAATCATTACCAACTGTGTCTAAAAAGTCAACAAAGGGTTTCCTAATGTTAAAGCATGGTGCGCTATTTACAGAAAATTGTCAATCGTAAATAATTTATTTCATTGTAATTTCTTGAATAAAAAATTACAAGAAATATAAGTTCATTCGAAAAGCCCATCATTTCATCGGCACACTGAGCCTTAGAAACGTCATATTATTCATTAAAAATTAAGATATATACCGAGGGAATGAATGCTGTTAAACCACCTCAATTGACCCTTTATAAGAATATTTTGCCCACACATATTTTATTTCTTATTTTTCGGTAGAATTTTTAGGTAGAATTTTCATGCATAGAAAAAAGTAACCGTAAAATACAACACCTATATTAGAAGATAATTTACGATGTTTCCAATGCATTTTCTGTCAACTACAATATTGCAAACATAAAATACGAGAAAACTAATCAATTAATCAACGAAATCAAACTTCATCATTTACATTTTTAATCTCCAAAATTATAACTTTAAAATCGCAGTTTACTTCCAGATTTTTCTGCGGATTGTTTTCCTGACAAAGCAACTGTTTTGATTTTTAAAAGTAAATCTCATCTAAATCGGAATGTGAACGTTTAAAAACATGTCTAGTCTTCATTGGCCTAAATTTCACTAAATTTTTTTTGGTACAGAAACCTGTCACCCCCTTGACAAGTCCTTTTTTCCATTTCCATACCCGAATGCAAACATCAGAAATCACTGTGTTAAGTTTATCCTCAATTTTCATTCCTTATCTATTGCTTTTTTTCACAGATACTATTCGGATAGAGGCCAATGCGCTAAATGTTATCTTTCCTGTAAAACTTGTTCGGGCCCGCGAAGAGACCAGTGCGTCACTTGTCCGCCGGGGTGGCAATTGGCAGCAGGTGAATGTCACCCTGAGTGTCCCGAGGGCTTTTTCAAGTCGAATTTTGGATGTCAAAAGTGCCACCACTACTGTAGAACGTGCAAGGGTGAAGGGCCGTTGGAATGCACCAGTTGCCCTGAACATTCGATGCTGGAGGGTGGCCTCTGCATGGAGTGCCTTGGAGCCCAGTATTACGATCCTTTAACTCAACTCTGCAAAAACTGTCACTCCGATTGTCGAAGATGCTCAGGACCTGGCAAGTTCAGCTGTGCTGCTTGCACTCTTCCCTTACACCTCGACAAACTGAATAATCAATGTGTACCATGCTGTCATGGAGAGAAGAAAAATGAGAGTGAGGAGTGCTGTCTCTGTGATCCTGAAACTGGCGGCTGCAGGAATTCATCGCCAGCTGGAAAAAGGAGGGTTGCAGGGGCGGAAGAGCCTGCCCCGGGGGTGGAGTTTGACACGGAGTTCGAGAGTTTAGAGGCCAAGGGCAAAGGTGAAGAGTTCGCGGTGACCGCTGCCACCATGATGGCGGTCGCCATCTGCGTTGCAGCGGTTGCACTGTTTGCCGCTATTTTCGTGGCTTTGCAGGTGAGTCGAAAGTCAAAGGACTTTAGAAATTACCAATTAATAGAGAGGTTATAATAAAAAAAAAATAGCTTTCCGCAAGACTGGCCAACCACACGAATCAGAATAATAGTTTTCGTCATACTTACACCGAAAGTTCGATGTTGCTCCCCAAATGACGGAATCAAAGTGGCCTATTCCATCCCTCAAATCTCCTTTACCTCATTTACGAAAACAAATCGCACTTTTTCGTGTAGTTATGACGGTAAGAACCGTCACCGAAGGAGGGAAACAAGATATTCTAACCCGCGTATGTTTAAAATGCCCTGTTTTCCTCCCTTGGTGCCCAATATACTATTAAGATACTTCCGTAGTTACTTATCCTTGTGCAAAATTTCGGAATTTGATAGAAACACCCCATTTAGTTTATCCCTCGTTAGGTATATATACACAAACCAATCTTGAGAATTTAAGGGTGGCAGATGAAGATATTGATTCCAAAGGCTATGCCAAGTTTACAGAAAAATACTTGAGAATATGCAATTTACCCGCTACCATGACGGAATTCATTAAAGCCAAATTTTTGACAGTCAATAGCAAAAACAATCGAAATGAAAGGTCGAATGCTCCCCATCGTAAACCACGTATTTTAATAGTACATTAGAGTACAAGGGCATAAATTTCCGAAATTTCTTACCTTCAGCTCGGCTTGTCAACTTCACATTCGTTGAGGCCGAAATTCATTCTCGAGTACTTCATTTTTCGAGAATTTCGACGGATCTTTTTGAATCAATATTCCATCCTTCAATGTTTTTCCTCTTGTTTATCATTATCTGTTTATAAACATTACTAGACTGCTCTCCGCAACACATTTTGCAATAAAAATTTATAAATATATTCTAGACTAACGAGATAAAATTCAAGGCGAACATTATATTTGATAAATAGTGTGTGCATCAACCATCCAATAATGATGAGTCGTTAAGTTTAGAAACATTAGCGACCCTGGAGTTTCTAAGCTTGAAAAGTATATAGTACCAATTATCAGAGGAGACATCATGAAAAGTCTTGCGGAAAAATATTGAACTAATTGGGGTGTTGCATCAAATTTTTTTATTGAGAAGAATCATGGGATGGGAAAATTTTCTCATTATTCGTCTACGTAAAAAAATACATATGTAATATTTTAATCATTTTACAATGATGATTCAAACGATATAATTCCCAATTTTCTGAAGAACTTTAAATTTTGTAAAAAATTTATGTTTTAATTGGACTTTGATTGCTTAATAATTATTATTAGGGTAATTTGTTCAAGAATGTGTCATAGATTGAACACGAGGCCATCATATCTTTCTTGTTTATTCTTCAAATTATTTAACTTCATTTAATTTCAGGTTTACTCAAAGATTAGGAATTTTCGAAAAGGTTAAGACTTTTACAAATTCTATTCACGGTAAAATTTGGAATTCTCTAAGGAACTATACATTTTTCGAAAAATCTTCACCTTATCAAATTTCTGTATCCAATTCGGTGCTGATTGAATAAAAAACATTTCTTTATGCCTTTGCTTCGTTCAATTCAAATATTTCTCTACCTTAAGTATGCTTAACTGCTCAAGTCAGCAACGGTGTCGGAAAATAAAAGAAAAGAAACAAATCAATCATTTACGATATAAATAGTTTTTTCTATTAATTTACAAGCCTCATGGCATACTTTTCGGTTCAAAGTATGAAAAAATATAGGAAATGTTTATAAACATTAACGTATGACTGACTACTGTGGTACAGCTCAAGTTTTATTCGTGCAACACAGCGTTTAGTGAGCTGCTCCGCCATCACTGTTTCATCGTCATCTACCTTGCCGACATTGCTCAGCTCTAAGAGCAACGTTGTCAATATTTTTTCAACACGGTGTAGGCTGGAAGGGCAACAGAAAGTTACCACTTTCTGCCTGCCGGGTTGAAAAATCGTGTTCAACCCTCGGCAGAAAACACAGACAAGCCTTCTCCAGGTGCTTAGCACCCTCGTCTTCGGTTCGGGTGGTACCTTTGCGAATGGGGAAGACTTATCTGTTTTTCCTCCCTAGGTAACTAATATACTCTACAATCGGTGGTCACTTTTTTGCAGATCTTTTCAAAAATTAATCACAAATTTCTGGAGTATTGTATTGGATACCCTAATTTTCGACTAGTCGGAAGTGTATTGCTAATTTATTAGCGCAAAAAACTGCAATATATAATGAAAGAGCAATTCCATATTTGTTAACATCAGAATATTAGAGTAGTGCCATTTGAATATCACAATAAATTACTATCCAATTGAAAAAAATAGAAAAACGATGGCGGGGAAACAGCAGCTCTATGATATCATTTAAATTTCATTTCATCAAAATAATTTCAGGCTGTGTCAAGGAGACGAGAATGCACTGTGGGTTACACGAAGCTGTCAGTGACTGTTGAACCACCGGAGGAAAACGAGGCGGATGACACAACAGAACTCATGACTTAGAATTCACCTAGTAGATAGTAAATGAACCAATTCATAAAAAAAGGGCCGAAGAAACCTTCAATGTCTTCGACTCGAGACAACTTAAAAAATCTCCACAGTGTTGAAACTTGTGCCAGAGGAAGAGGGAGTCTCGATGCTCTCATTTAATAAGATTTTTCATCATGGAAAAGCTACAGTGTGGAAATTTTGGCCAAGTGTTCCTCAAGTTTCAGGAGAAAATGATGAAGAAGAACATGTCTGCGTGTGTGCTGATAAGAAAGATGATAACATGACGTGTGAATGTGTTTTTAAGTGAAAAATGTAATACCTTAACGAAGATGAAGAGAATTCAGGTGGTAATGTGAGAACAGAGGAGATTAATGTGAAATGAGAAATGAGTGTGGGTGTGACTCTTTAAGGTACGAACAACTCGTACAAAAGAATGAGGGAAAAAATATCGTAAGTGCCTGATTAGTGACACCCAAGTAATCTCTTCCTACCCCTTTTCACACCTTCTATTAATCTTTTTTTACTTTCGGGATTTTTATATCCAATTCCTTTTATTTTTCTCAAATCCCCTAATCCCTCTTCTTTTATTCCATGATTCACTCTTTCTCATGATTGTTTTTTTTTTCTCTGTTTTATTTTCTTGCTTTATTGGAGAAAGATTCAAACGTAATACAGAATAGATGAAGAAGGTATGTTTTGAGGTGGGTGAATGAGAGAAAGAGAAATATGATGAGGGAGCAAACTCCTTTTGGGTTTTATTGAGAATGAAAATCTCCTAGTGATGTGGGGCGTTAGCAAAATAATATGTCGAGATTGCGAAATTTTCATAAGACCATTCATTATTGAGATAACTTATCACTTTGCAAAAAAGTTGAATTCTATTCAAAAAGGCTTTTATTCAAAAATATCAGAAAAGTTTTTTGTAGAGATTTTTTTTCACTGCAAAAAATACATTCTGAGTATTTCTTCATAAAGCCATTCGTTATCCACACGAATCTCCAACGCTAATCCTTCAAAAAGCGGGATTCTGCTCATCATAATTCACTCCTTCTCTCTAGTACGATCTTCGTTTATGAAAGGGCGTAATACATTTCTCGATATCGAGAAAAAGTATCGAATACCCTGTGAAAAAATAACTCCATCCGTCAAAAAACAGACCACTGACGCTGAAGTTGCTATGTCAATGATCATCCACATACCAAATATTCGATACTCTCTCACGATAAAAAAAATCATGTATATTTTGTATAAAAAATGAAAGAGTCAAATTTAATGAAGATCCAATGAAAATTATAACGACGAAATTAATGAGGGTTTGTAGAAAGTTGTAGATCATTTAGGGACACAATTGATGAGATACCAGTCGTTCAACCAACAAAATATCGAGAGTTCATTAGATGGATGAAAATAAAATTAGGACGTACTCGAATATTGTCGGAGTTATTTTGTATTACCCCAGTTATGTCCGTCACAATTTGATATTTTGTTACTAGTGGATAATTAATGGAATTAAATTTTAAGTCAATAATTGCGTTTTGTAAGTATTTGTTATACGTATTTTGATTTTTAATATATTTTTTTTTCATACGTCCCACTTATTTTTTTACACGTATGTTACTTGGAATTGTATGATTTTTTTCTTGATATTGAGAAGTCAACAACAAAAATGAACAAAAATATTACGTGGACTTATAGATAAATTTGTAATTAAACGGGCCAGAATTAACGAACAAAAAAAATTATTATAAAAAACAAAATCTAACGAGATGTGAAACAATATGAGTATTTGTGATGACAGAGGGGCGAGTGTCGCTTTTGGGTGCGAAGGTTTATTAATTGTATCTGATGAATGCACCAGTTGTGTGAGCAATGAATTTCTTCTTGTGATTTGATATAATGCTATTATTGTACTTTTATGATGAACGCGAATTATAAAGATATACATATAAATATTAATTGGGTGTTCAATCAATGCAAAGTAGGCTAATTTAATTAATTCTCATTAATTAAGATTAAGAGATATTTTTAGATATCGATAGTTCTTCCGTAAATCACAATCTTACTAAAGTTAGTTGTCGCTTTTAAAAATTATAACAAAGCATCAATGATTTCATCACTACGAATAATTTCATAACTATCGACACATCATACAATTTCTCTCGCAGACGGAGGGGCTCCAACAAATCTCAATTGTTTATAAATTTTCCCTTTCAACTTAAATATGAAGACACTCGAACATCCCCTCCAGCTCCTCCTTCTTCTCTTGCAATTCCCTGCAAACGCTGTCCCAAGGTCCGCTAATGAGATTCGTTATCTCCTCAGCGCGATCTAGAAACCTCTGTGTCTTCCTCAGTGTATCTCTAAAGAAAAGAAACAATGAGAAAACGTCAATTAAATTTCACAAAGAGAATTCACCTTTATCGAATTAATTCAAACTACTTGAACCGGTTTACTTCTCACATTCTGATGAATCTTCAATGCTCCCGTTAATGAGATATTACGGACAAAAAGATGAAGATATTTTTAATTTAAGGTTTTTTCCATAATCTGACCGATTTTAACAACCGCTTGAAAACTCATTTGACATATCTTTCATTTTAATTATTCAGAACCAAATATGTACATAGTCTGATATTGAACTAATAATTGATATTAAAACGTCGTTTTCTCCCCATAAAGAAAAAAAATGAGACTTGACCTTACGGAGGTAACTTATCGTACTATATCCATTTGCGTGCACCTAGAATCAACTCAAATATTCTGTCAGCGCCGTCTACAGGGTATAAAAAAAGGTAATCGGAGAGAATAAGACCCTCAGAAAATTTGAAGTTCTGATGATGCCTACAGTAGTCTCCATGATTTTCCAAACAAAAACTCCAATACTTTTTTGGCGAAAATCTACGGTTAAAAAGTTATTTCAGAAAAAGTGGATTTTGAAAATAATTGTTGAGTTTTTCACGCGTTTATCAATTATCAGGTAATGATTCATACTATGTCGGAACGTGGTGCGTTTAATGAATTGAGCTTTTTCGAAACATATCTCTGAATTTTGTATATTTTGGGTAGGTGGATGGAACGTTCCACTCCTCTTCCCACCTGAAGGTGTATGATTTTCGCAATTACTTTTTCAAAAAATTTCCGCCAAAAACGTATTAGTTTTTTATTTGTAAGGTAACGGAGAGCACTATAGGCATCAGCAAAACTTTGAATTTTATGAGGACCTTATTCTCCCCTATTACCAAAAATACTCCTAGGTGTGCATTGTAAACATTGTAAACAGACTCACGCCGATCGCAGAGGATCTGAAGTAAGGTCTCCAACTGACCTTCAAGCCTGCACTCAGGTCGAGCCTCCGCAAAAGCTAAAATATTCGTTTTCTACTGTATAAGGGGAAAACCATCCTATTTTATGTCTGTCTTCAGCTTGACCCTTAGGAGATGTGTTAATATTGTAGCGGCACACTTTTTTTTGCGTACTGTGATATAAAAATGATTGATGAGGCAATAACGTTTATCTTCTGAGAGACTGCCATACATAAGCATGAAGAATATGCATGTTCGGGGTTCACTGTTACTGGGTTCTTAGAAAAAGAACTCCTACGTCGGCAAAATAATCAAACGTCACATAAAGTAACTCGACTAACTGAAAACAAAGAGTTAGGCTGGTTTTAAACTCTTAACAGGGCACTTATTCCCTACAGATATTTTAGAAATATCAATCCCTTTGCAATAATCCTCGTAAAAGTTCGCCCCTACTCGCCGATTACTCCTCGCGAGCAAATCGTCCAAGCACACATAGTTGGCTATCCGCATGAAAAGGGCCCACTTTATCGATTCTTGTTTACGAGATATTCACATTTTTCTCATAAAGCTAAAAATTGTGTTTTTTTTTCATGGACTCAGATTTAAGGTGGTTGTCGCGCGACAGTCTCTGTAAAAAGTTTATCCGCTGTAAAACGGGCCAGTTTAGAACACAATCTTTTAGCGGTATATAGTCTCACTTGATTGATTGCATTGTGCATGGATAGCTAAAGCATAACTATATATTTTTCATATTAACTATTTTCAATTATATAAATTTATGAATTTCCGATAATTATATTCCGTAAACCAAACGGTCAATCGATTTGATTTTTTTTTCTGTATTTCCTCCCACGATGTATATTCCACGTTTTTTTTTATTTCGGAAACTGTCGAGCCGTTGATTTTTAAAACATTCTAATCGGCAAAACTCCATTTAAACACGTGTTAAATCACTCGAATTTCAAAAATTTATATCTCAAGTTCAAAACGGTCAATTGCAAACGGAAAAGGCTCATTTTGTTGCTAATTTTTCAAACTATTCACCATAAAATTGTTAACGAAAACTGTCGAAAAAAAATTCTACGCGACAACAACCTTAAGTAGAACTCTTCCTGCGTCGAGTAAGACCTGTCGAATCTTATTATCTCAACTAGAAATTAATTATTTAGATTAAAAAAAAACAGCTTTTCGTCATTCTCCTGATAGCTTCATCCAGTAAACCCAGTCAAAAACTTATGAGTACTATAAAGGAGGGTCCGACATACTGCAAGTGGCCGAGTGCCGGTCTATTACTAGGGTCGGGATAATCTCCAAATCCTAATGGGCACACAATTAGCCAACCTTTAACTACGAATAAGTTAAACAAAAATTGCTGGCCGGTCAGAATTGGCGCAAAGTTTCAGTTTTTAATTTTAAATCTAAAATTTCAAAATTTGCAATGAAAAAACTTGGAGAATATATTTCGGAAATTTTTTCGGCAATTATTATTTTCCTTCTAAAGATGGCAACTCTAAAAGTGAAACATAAAAATTTTTACAGTGTAAAGAGCTCTTTGCAATTGATGTGGCTAGTCATCCGATCCGGTGTCCAAAGGCCTACCTATTAACTTGCGTTTACGTCGACGCCCTAGCCTGTCTGTGAGGCATCTGTTGAGAGCAAAACATCCGGTTCTAGCTGCTAAATAGGTCTCACCCGACGTACGTTAGAGCTTTTCACTACAGACAATCGGTCGAACTTTATTCGAGGAGGGGAAATTGGCATTCTGGAAATATTTTTGGGGGCGGTGCGAACCTCGTTGCAGTTGGCAAAAGAAAAGGCGTTTTTGAGTATTCCTTCCCAGAGTGCGAAGGAACGAGATCGAGTTCGAGTTATCGAGTACCTGGGCATTCTGGTGGACCATCAGGTCGTCCAATTCCATAAGAAGTTTAATCCTCTTCTGTGCAAGAGTGTTTGATAGCCAGTTGTTTATTCTCGAGAAAGTCACTCCAGCTGTCGATCGGGGATGAATTAAAGGAGAGTCTACACTGAGGAAAAAATTTTCTTTAGCCAAGAATATCTACTAAGCACAAGAAAATATATTTGGCATTAGTAAGTCTTATGAAACTATTTACACAGTAATCACCAGATTTACTGATGGGAAGGAACTATTCTTGGCAAAAGTAATTTTTTTTCTCAGTGTAGTCTTCCGGGAACGTGGGCTTTCGGGGTGTTCTCGAGGTTACCGAGATCTTTGGGGCCAAAAAGTTTGAGCCCTGGATTGGGAGTATTTGACCCTCGAGGGAAAGATCCTGGAGACGCAACACTGACGATTCAAGAATTCTGAGAGTTACTTCTCCTCGAGATGTGACTCAGAAGGAGGAAAGACAGCCAACTTCGTTGAACTCTAGTGCTTTGGACACGTTTCTCCTCATCGTAATGACTTCACCTCTTTTCGCACAAATGTAGTAGAACAAATCGTCGAAGATCATGCTGACATTAGAGTATCCGAGCTGCGGATGCTTCTCTACTAATGAATTAAACGTTTATAGAAGGCCGTGGTTATAAGAGTACGTGGTAGTGAATTCGCCTTGGTGAGGATTGCATTGCTGTAGGGAGTTGGTATGCCTGTCAATTCACTATTGATCTTGACAGCGTGAACTTTGATCCCCCGAGCACTGATTGAAAGTGTTGGTCCAGGGATTACAGGGTGGTATTGCTTCAAGATAATAAGAGTGCCCTCCCCCTCCCTCCTCCTCGTTCAATGATGAATCTTCTGAACTCTTAAACGAAGCACCACATTGAAAGTCTGTTTATCTATTTTGCCACATAAGATGCTGAACATGAAAGTCACACGGTATTCCACAGCTTCAAAGCATGTCCTCTTAATTAGAGATTCTTCCTTCTTCTCGCACGGAACAGAGCCATAATGGGCGTAGCGCGGGCAGGATGCGGGGTACATCGCCCACAGAAAATCGCCCTACTGCCAAAATTCCTATCATGATCAGCTTGAACCCCAACACTTCATTCTCACTGGAGTTCTTTAGCTGCTACCGCCCAGAGTGTAATTGCATGGTAGCCCGCATCCAGTGATTGCACAGACTCCTATGCCTCCCTTACAGAGCTTCACAACATATTGACCAAGGTGGGAAGGGGGCCTGAGATAGATGTTCGACAGAATTACAAGGATAGAATAGTCGTCTTACAGGGGCGATCTTTGGATCCAATTAATTTTAGCTATAAGGCGTTTTAGCTTGCTCGGTCCGAGACAGTAAAAGAGAGGTTGCACCATCTTTCCCCAGCTCATCCAGCTATCATCGCGTGTGTCCGAGCTAATGATTACAGACAGTGGAAAACGTTTCGATAATGGAGACAATGAGAAGGAGAGAGGCAGGGCGGTCTTTCTCCAGTATGATCGACTGTCGTGGCATACTCTAACGAATGGCTGCGGACTGCGTAATCAATCTCTGATGGGTGGTGTGTGTACCCGAGAAGATGGTAACGTCAATGTCGGGGACGAGGTGACATCCTTATGTGGTTGCCACATTTTCCGCCTTACAATCCTAAAATCATTTTTAAAAAACTTTCCAGGGGCAAGGAGAGTGGTACCCACCTTTGAATTCATATTTAATAGCACTTTCAGAGCTAGATAAAATAACAAACGTTATAACAATTTTTTTTTCTTTTACATACACGCTTCGGAAAACAAAAACGAAAGCGTCCTGTCCGGGACCCTAGGAGTACCTTATATACCGTATAGACGGCGCTGACAGTGTATTTCAGTCCATTCTAGGTACACATGCATAGGATCATTGAACCATTTGACTTTCAAGATCCCAAACATGAATAATTACTCTGCATTAATGAATATAACTTCGTCATGCTTAAAATGCAGAATTGCATATATTCTTATCATTATTGTGAAAAACTAATGGTAAATGTCTAGTTCAGGTCCACCAAACTATTCTGGATATTCTATATTTAAATACATAGGTTTCCGTTACCGAATTAAGAATCTGGGCCACTTTATAAATTCTATTAGATTCCTACAAAAATTATATAAGCTTGTAATTGAATTCGTTTAGAAGTTTTGCCATTAGAAAGATTCAACAGAAAGGACTGCATTTGAAAGCAATTTCAGTTTTCCGGACAATTTAATCTATTTTACACATAAATTATACACAAATGTACCCAATTAAAATTATAAAATTAGATTATATACAGTTATACAGAAATACACAAAAAGAACTTCAAGCGATTTTACTATAAAAATTCTGCAAGGAAATTTCCCTCAAATGATTTGTATTAACAAATTTTTTTAAGTTAATTTTCCCTATGAACCTATTTACTCTTTCAATATTCATATTGGAAAAAATCTCAAATAATAGTCGTAATTTCATTAAAATAAAAAACTAAGATTGTGTATTATATTTTTTCATCTGTGATTATTTTTCAATTATCTTTCCTCGGCCACTCTCTGTAGCTAATTATTTTGATTTTTTCTGCAGTAATTACTCATTTTCATGGTTAACTGGAAATGGATAAATTTTCAAAGATTTAACAGTGCGATCGATATAATGGGGATTTTTAAGGAATTTTAGGTACAACAGAGTTTACCTCAGAATTATTTCACAATGGATTTTTCTCTCTGCTATTTCTTCCGCATCTACTCTCTGCCTATTTCTGGATACTGAGACAATAAGAATGCAGTTTTCTCAGAGAAATTAATATTGCAAGAAGTATTGTTTTGGTGGACCTAAACCACATATTTACTTAACTAGTTTCTTATCTGATTATTAGAGAACCAAAACTAAAAGAGACTGCTCCATACGTTTTACATACCGCGAAATTTCTTCGGTGTCAACCGCATGGGTAAATGTGTAGAACAGCCCCCCCCCCCCTCCCCAAAAAAAGTTAAATAGCGAAAGTGGAGTAATCTCCATGTTTACATGAAGGATTAGACAACAACGGGTCAGGGATTATATCGTACGATAATTCAAGTCTCCAATGAACCAGTACGTCTGGGTTCGCGGATAAATAAACACGTGCCACATCAGGAGCGGCCCTTCCATCGGGGGAGACATGAGATTACTACGTGGGCACTCGATATAGGTATGAATTTTTTACTTACAATTCATAATTATAAGCTTAATTATAGAATTTGCTGTATGAGTAAGGACAGCGCAGTGGTCACGTATATACCGAGTGTCAATGTCAATAATTTCCAAAGGAGATCGATCGCCCCCCACGATGAATGGTGTTGCTGTTGAGTGAGTAAACAAAAATATACCTCTTCGTGTTGTCCTAGTCTTTAAATGTACCAACATGTGTTGTCGTGGGGCCAATAACCGCTACGTCCTCACCGTAGCCCTGGGTAATGCAAAGAGCGGTATACAAATTTCGACGGATGGAGGAAACTATTTGTCTCCCCAACATACGGTTGTCAGATTCGTGATCAGGAGGTCAAAAACTATCGGATAGGATGTAATTCAATATAGTTATATTCAATAAGTTCCGGGGGGGGGGGAGTAAAACACATTAGCCCTTAACTGATCATTTGCTATTAATCGGTCAGCATAATCCAGTTACGTTACTAAGCATCACGCTGACAATGCTGTGTATATATATAACATATCTATCGAATGGAATCTCTGGTTTGAATTTCATGTTGTTTATGTAGAATAACGTAAATCTCGCATTCCTATACTTGGATCTCAATTTGTGTTGTGGAATACACCCCAATGATTATAAAAAAATAATGATAGAACTAAATAGTTGGAGGGTGGCTGATCGGGATATTGATTCCAGGAATCTGCCGAGTTTACAGAAAATAATGGAAAATACGCAGTTTGTCATTTGATAGAAAAAAAACAAACATGAAAGATTAAGAATAAAAAAACCTCGCTCCAATCTCACTGATAATCACTAGCTTCTGAATTAAATCCAACAACATTGATTTGCCGCTTGGTTGACTGAGTGAAGAAATGATGAATGATAACAAGTGGACTCTTCGAGGAATATCTCTGCATTTGAAATAGATAGCGAAATTTTTTTAAGAACATTCTTTGTCGGGTGCAATAAGAGCTATAAAAAAGGTAACTTCAAAAATATCTCCGAGATGCCCCTGGTAAACTTATCCATCAGCCAAATGGACTTGTTATACTTTACCACTTCATTAAAGAAAAAATAGAAACTACTTGAGATTTGAATATTCCGCTTACTTGTATATCTGCGACCTCCTATTCATCTCTTTCTGGAGATACTGAAGGCATACGTCAGTAATTTTATTCAATTCATTAGCGACTTCGATGCTATCTTTGCCGAATTTCTCCTCAATAGTAACAATGCTCTCCTCGAGGTAAGATATCGCTTCCAACCATTGACCCATTATCACCGATATCTTTCCCAGTGAGTCAAGTACTATGGACACATCCTCATGGTCTTTGAATAGCAGATTTTTCCGGATGTTTAGACATTCCAAGAGTTTTTGTTTTGAATCCTCGAATTTGCCAACATCCAGGAGGTTTTGGGAAGTGACAAAGAGATCTTGTGCTCTCTTTAAATCCTTCGCTCGTGCAACCATATCAATCTTCGTTGAATTGTGACACTCCAGGCAGGAGAAAGCTTTGTTCACGAGGATCAGGGGTCCTGAGCATGAGGGACATTTAAGTGCAGTAAAACGATCCTGAAATCGATTGCAAAAGTTAGCGAGAGCTGGTAGCTTTAAAGGGTATTAACTTGAAGTTTACCCCAACTTTATAAATGGGGAGAAAAAACTTAAGATTGGATACTGATCGGAGAGATCATCTATAGCAAAAATCCCATTTTTAAGAAAAAAAACATGGACTTTTTTGTTGGAAAACGAGACATTCCACAAAGCCCTATGCCAATTCGTAACTTGAAAATGTTTGTTTTTCCAATATTCTTGCCACTTATTGTTTATCCAGTATCCAAATATCTATTTCATGAAATAATTAACCGTACAAATTAGGCTCGAAAAAATACCATGTGGTTCTTCATTGATAACAATTTAAACTAAAATAAGTGGATAATTGCACATATTCACTCTTGGTATAATCATTGTTGCTAATGAGCTAGAAATTCGCTCCTGAATGGATACTTATTGTTACGATTCCTCGTATCCATTTGCCCATTTTTTTGTTATCACTGTGTATTTGAATTTAATTCCGCCAATAACATTTCCTATGTAGTCACTCAAGGTATATTTAACACGTAATTAGAAGGAATCTAGTATTATTTTGAAATTGAATAAAGAAACTGGACGAATATGTTAAAGTAACGAATTAATAGAGCATGGATAGCTAAAGCTTAACTATATATTTCCCATATTAACTATTTTCTATTATATGAATTTATGGAATTTCGATAATTATATCACCAACCACGTGGTCAGTCGATTTGATTTTTTTTCTATATTCCCTCCCACGATATATATTCCTTTTTTTTTTATTTCAAAGACTGTCGATCCGTTGATATTTTAAAAACTGTAATCGGTGAAACTCTATTTAAACACGTGTTATCTAATAAATATGGATATCTCAAGTTCACAAAGGTCAACTTCAAACGGAAAGGGCTCATTTCTTAGATAATTTTGTTAACTCTTCATCATAAAATTTTTAACAAAAACTTTCGAACAACAATTTTACGATACAAAAACCTTAAGTTTATGGAATAGCTTCAAATTCGTCGAAATTCACAATTAATTTAACTTCGACTTAAACTTTATTGTCTATAAATGAGTTTTTGTAGGCATAAAATATACTTCAATTTTCTAGTATATTCCAGTATTTGCAGCGCAAAGACAAGTTATTAATGGTCTGATCTTTTAAAACCTTCGGTTCCGTAGTACCAAAGACGTGCAAAAACATTCTAAGAGTTCATTGCTCTATGAGAGCAAACTAAAAGCAATATCTCCATGTCGAAAATGAATCATTGCAGAGTCCCGAAACTCTTCTTCCATAGCATACAACAATTCCCAAAGTAACCAATATTTTTTATTACCAAAAAACATCGCAGATCGATATCTGTGCATGACAGACACTTGCATTCAAAGCAGTACTGACTTTTTAGGGCCTTTTGACGTTCTTCCACTGACATACGACGGAAATGCGGTCCTAAAAGAAACGACATAAATCACCCATGAAAACGTCGCAGTCATTAATTATTCCAGACATTGAAATTCACCCTTTTTCCTTCTCTTTCCCATTACTCTGATTCTCTATTCACGTACCATAGCAATTGAAGATTTCATCCCCAATCCCGACATCTTTTATCGCTTTGACGATTAAATAATCATTCCAAAAACTGAGAAGAAAAATTTCCTTAAATTAAATTCCAATTATTGCCAACGAAGAATTAATGAATACTCTTAATTGTTAACTGAATATAGCTACTGCGGGACAAAAAAATTTCTCATCATTTTTCCTGAAACCATTGGTTATGGTATTAATGAAGATTATAATTGGCTAATGTTGTAAGGAATGTGATTATCAGGCATGTCGATGAAAAGTTGCCAAATAAATTTTCCTTCTATAAATCGTCGTAGCTCAAAAAATATGTTTTGGTATCCTGCGATTTTTTTCTCTCAAAATTAAACTGTATTGTGATAAAAAAAAATATCTAATTCAAGTAACACCAAAATTTCAAGAAAACGTAAATAGAGGGGGAAAAATAATTGAGATCAATAAAGAAGTGACAGTTAAAAAAAAATGAATGAAAAATGTTAACTACTAATTACTTGTAAAGGGACGTTCGTAAAGAGATCCAGGTAAATATAATTCTCACGTGTTCATGATTGTTGGATCGCAGGAATGATTCATCATACTGACGGATGGATAAATCCCAACAGCCACTCTCTGTTGTTGTTCATCAACGATATTGCCTTTTGGTGTATTCATTAAATTTAGTCGCGTGATTGCATGGCCATTAGCAATTAGCTGGAGCATATGACGCAATAGGAAATTGGCGAGAAAAATTTTTTTCTCGTACAAAGTGGAAATTTCGAAAACCATTGCATTTTCGTCGATTGCTAATTTATCTATTATTGCTTTTTTGAGATCTATTTGATCCATAAAGTTTGTGTGCTCTTGTAGATATTGGGAAAGCATGAGAGCGGTCTGAAACAAGAATACCAGTTAGTCCTAAATTATTTCAATAAACTGAAAACATTTTAAATTATTTAGAATGGTAAGAAAATTCACTATTTTTTTTACTTCAAACCATTCTAGATCGCTTTCCAGTAAAAATCGCAAATGGAAAAAATCATTAAATACAATGTTTACATTCGCAAGCAAAAATTAATAAAACATGAGAAAAAGCGGATTTTTAGCATTAAGCCAATGTTTTCTTTGCAACACGCTTTGTACCTATTCGTTGAAATTGGACTTTTCAATTTTTTGTGTCATGGTACTTGAATTGATCTAAAAAAATCGAGTATACAATTTGTCGATCGCATATATATATATATATGCGCATTTATGTATGCATTAATGCCTGACGCTTTTTTTTCAATTATCTCCATGTAGGTTCAATCGAAAGCATGAACTTCTCTCTGTGTGATATCAATATTTTTGTTAATACGGAGTGTTCCATTATTACTTCTCAAAAAAATATTATTGCAATGGATTTAGCTGCGGTTGGAAAAGTTAATGTTAAGAACTTCTTTGTTATACTCTGGGAAAAATAAATAGTTTGCTAAGTCAATTTACCGAGAAGAAAATCCACATATTTTCGTGTACATTTGTCTATAAATTTCTTATATATTTATTAGATTCATTTTTTAGAGGAATTTTTCTTATGGGTCCGATTGGTTGGCTGGTGTTTCAATTCTTTAGGAGATATTGGAAAAATTAATCTATTGACGGCATAATAAGTTCATTCTGATGACCTCTTGACTAAGCGAAAGATGATTATAATAGCATTCATTAAGTGAAAGAAATCCCATCTAGTAAATCCGCATGACGACTTATTATCATGTTGGATAGGTAGTCTCAAAATAATCCTAATTTGACACTCGCATGTATTATGTTGTTATATTGCTGATCAAGAAATCAAAAGAATCCGCATGGAGGGCCTTCTGTGAGGAGCAGGATTACTGTCACAGGTTGCCAGGCTCCGCAGGGTTTTCTCCGGCGGAGCCATGCAAGGATTGGATGAAATCACATTAGCCAGTGTGGTAGGTATCACCCAGCCAGATTACATACTGGAACACCTAATCCAGGTGCAATGCAAGTCTGATGTGCTGCCCTGAGGACCTGTCCCAAGGAAATCTTGGACAGAGGGGACAAGGACAAAAAAATATACATTTGCTTTGACTGCAAGCACGGGCTAAGGGCACTGCTCAGATGTGAGTGTTGCTCGCGATTAGTGAGCAATTGCACTGAGCTGACTGAGACGCTAGTGGAACTGAACAGGATAAAGCTTCTTTCTTTGGTGGGGCTTATCACCAGTCACAGGTCTCGTATTTAGCAAGAATAGCCAGGGGGAGCGACCCGACATGCCCAAAATGTGAACTTACAGAAGAAGAGCCGCACCATCTAAGCATTAGATGTAGTGGTTCAGATGGGATCCAGTGCAGTGTCTTGAGGAACACTTACATCAAGCGCACGTATGTTGATAGAGACGGTATAAAAAGGCTCTACAAATTTGCTTGCAGGACTATGGTGGCTCATTACATTTCCCGAACTCTTGGAGGGAACACCTAAAACCACCAAAAAGCCTACAGCCTAGTTATCTTACAATGTTTCTAAATATGAATTCCAGATTGACCAAAAAATACATATTATTCTGTTTTTTACACCAATCACACTTTTTCGGTAATAGTTGCGGATACTGCCGGTAGATAGATTTTCTATAAAATTCAAGTAATTCACCATTTGATAAGAGTATTAAGGGAGATCCAGAATAAAATTGAGTAAAACTCAATTGAGTGAAAAATAATTTGAAAAGACGGACCAGATCGTATTCTAATCTTTGTGTAGTTGATAACAGCCACATCACCGTCCCGTGCCGCCGTGAATCCTGGGTGATGCTCACTAGTGGTGAGGTTTATGGCACTTTACCACACGTTTAATTGAATGAATGCCAATTTAGATGGATTATAAAAATCATAAACATTCAAAAGTCAAGGGGAGCGAAAGGTTCCGTATATTGACCCAAGCATAATAAATTACTTATTTTATGACTTGAAGGGACCAATTAATTTAATGTAACCACATTCCGATACACTATGAGTGTATTCCTTATAAGATAAGTGCGAAAAAATCAACATTTGCCTCATTTTTCAGAAAACAATTTACAGGAGTTTGAATACGGTAGCACAACTTTTTCAGAATAGCTGACCAAATTTCGTTACGTTTTGCTTTTTATGCGCTCATTTCTCACAACATCTTAACATGAATATTTCATTGAACTCTCCTGAAAACTGAAAGGAAAATAGTGAAAACGACACGAAAAACGCACATAAAATAAATATTGATTACTCACAATACTATAAATCATCAAATCATCATCCGACAATTTGTCAATATTCGTCACCAGTTTTTGTACTTGATTAAATTTCTCAATATCTTCGGTAGTGGCCAAGACCAATAGAAGTTTAATCGCTAAATGTGCAATTCCTATCTGTCTCCAGATTCCACTTTCATACCCAGGACATTCCCACCGATGGTATAACCCCCAGGACTCTCTAAAACACCTCGGAGAGCAGTACGAAACCTCTACACAGCCCCTGCATGGATAAAAAGCCCCAAAGAGCCCTGAACAGCAATTTCCACATACTAAATTCGAATGTTCGTGGTCCAGGGGGACAAAGGCGAAGGGTTTCTCCACGAACAGTATCTCCCCCTTTTTTATTGGTTTCGTTGCAATTACGAATCTTCCTCGAGTTGGAGAATAATCTCGAGTTACTGATGTAGACGCTGACGGGTAGTTTGCATTAATTCCTATTAAT